CCCCCGCCCCCGCCCATCTCTAGCCTTGCGGGTGCCCCCCCCCCCCCCCCCCGACCTCTGCCTAACATTGCCTTCTGAACTGGTTGCCTAGCTGTGGCAGAAGCCCCTGGAGCCGGTCACTGTCCAGCATGAGCTCCCCGGTGAAGTGGACCAGGTGCACCTGGAGGTTGTGGAGCTGCAGAAGCAGGTGGCTGAGCTGAGGAAGCATGTCAAGGTGGCCGGGCCCCGAGGAGAGCCTGCATACACAGAGCAGCTGCAGAGAGAGGTGGGTGCTGGGCAGGCATGAATTTCCTCCCACCCTAGCCTGTAACATGCTTGCTGGCACGTGTTTGGGTTCCCGATCTGTGAGGCCAGATGTTGGTGTCCAGAGGTGACACCCCAGACACCTCCTCTTTTTACCCACGGTTTTCCTCTGTGAGCTCACACCTCTAGTTCTTTTTTTTGGCTGGCTGTACTATTGCTGGAATGGAGCCCATGCCCTCTTTGATTGAAAAAGTCTTCCTTAGGAAACACACTGTAGAGTATGCATATAGACAGGCCTGGGCTGACAGCTAAGAAGGCTCTATGCACAGACCCAACCTGCCTGTGAGAGAAGAGGCCACAGAGCACTCAACATCTGGCCAACACTATGGCCAGGGCTGAGACATGGTCAGCTGAATGTCCACCAAACCCTGCGACAGAGTCCTTGCTTCCCACTGAAGGCCCCAGTGGAACCATGGATAGGAAGGGCGACAGCCCTGTTCCCCTGCTGTGTCGCCGGGGCTCTGTGAGTCCTGCCGGAACCTGGGGTGATGTGTACTGACTTACAGTGACCTTCTGGCCCTGCACTGACCTGCTGTGATCTCCAGCGAGTGACCGGTGATATGACTCCCTGCCAATTGACTTGCAGTGACAATAGTGACTTATGGTCACCTTTGGCTATCTGTTCTGACCTATAATGGCTCATGGCCACCTGTGGTTACCAATGGTGACCTGTTAATCACCAGAGGTCATAGGCATTCAGCTGAAAAGTTGAAGATAGTATGTATCCTTGTGGCCCCATATTACATGTACAGGAGCATAGCAGATAGCCTCTGGTATGGTCTGTGTCTAAGAACAAGCAGAAAAAGAAACAGAACAGGGTTGGGGGCTGAGGGAGCCCGAGGTTCTAGCAAAAGACTGAACTGGCCAACATTGAAGTAATGAGCAGTACTCGTTCCCAAGGGTTCTTGCACCCAGCCCTCCCCAGGCCCTCAGACCTCCCCACAATCCAGCAGTCCAGGGGGAACAGGTAGGTCAGCACTAAATATACACACTAAATTTTAAATAGTGAGAGACTGGGTTAAAGCGGTAGACCCAGACCTTAGCAGTCGCATATGTAAAACACAATTTTCAGGTATCTCTGTTCCTGTTGGGTCTTGGTATCTATGATTTTGGTACACTGTGAGGTCATGGCTGGCAACCACTGCCCAGCAGCATGTCCCCTACCTGAACAAAGTGTTAGGTATGCAGGAGAGGCCAGGAAGTCCGTGCTTCCAAGGGAAGCTAGAGCCATGTAGTGATATGTAGAGAAATGGTTGAGACACACACTTGCCCATCCCCACTGTCCTGAGGGCCTTGCAGCCGCCAGCACCCATGTCCAAAGGTAGCTCTAGAATCTCTCGCTCTCTTCCTTTAACAATGCCAGTTCCACATGGATGTATGAGGAGGGTACAGATAGCAGCTGTGCGGGACTCCACCTGACCATCAAAGCCAGGAAAGACTGCAATCCATCTTCATAGGAAGTCCTAACGTGATCTGGTTCAAGTGACAGACACGTGAAGACAGGGAGGCCAGAAAGATGCTGCTGCCAAGCGTGAGGCCCCAAGCTCCATCTCTGGGACCTACATGGTAAAAGGAGAGAACCAACTTTACAGCTCATCCTCCACAATGTGCACACCATGACACGCACAGCAGCCTATCCGGACAGACAGCTGTAACACAAATGACTTAAAACAAGAAAATGTGAAGTGACTCCCCCACAGAACATTAGTGAGTAGACGAGACAGACAAGGCAGTTGAATGTAGGTGTGGAGCTTGAGGTAGATGCTTGCTGAGAGCCAAGGTACCCTAGCCTCCGTCACAGCGCTCCTCCCCCACCCAGTCGACCTTGATTGCAAGGTGAAAAAGTTCTTTCATTGTCGAAACCTAAGGACACCAGCTTGACCAACGTCAGCACCAGGACACTAGCATCTGTGCCTAAGTGGAACATACCCAAGACTCACTTTTGGGGTCCCACCAAAGCACAAAACCTGAACCTAAGGAAGAGGTGATCTCAGACAGAACCAGTGGAAGGACATCTACGGATTAGCCCCTCTGGACACCTCAAATGTCAGTGTCATAAAATAAAAGTGAAGCCTGGGGGCCGGGCGGTGGTAGCGCACACCTTTAATCCTAGCACTAATCTTAGCACTGAGGTGGCAGAGACATGATGTCACTGGAGCTCACTGGACAAGTGGTCTTGATGAGCTCCAGTTTCAAGGAAAAACCCTTTCTAAAAAAAAAAAAAAAAAAAAAAAAAAAAAAAAAGTGAAGCCTGGGAAATCTTCCAGCTATAGGCAAGGACACCTGCACATTCATACTCTGGGGGTCTTGGACCCTGGAAAGGGATCCAGCTTGGAGGGACGTGCTTGGGAGGCCAGGTGGGGTCACCAGGATCAGCAGTGTGCCACAGTCCTTGTGCAGGACTGCAGTGCCTACGTGGGAAGGCACACTGTCTCCCCGCCTCCCTCCCCCCACCCCCCCCATGCTTCAGGAAGAGGCATGTGTACAGAGGTGGGCAGGGAGCGGGGCAATACCTTTCCCAAGGCAGAAGTCTGAGACAACCCCTCCAACTCACCTTTCAGCTTCTATCACAGGCTAGTCTTCAGCTGGCGGTGGTGGCACACACCTTTACCTCCAGCACTGTGGAGGCAGAGGCAGGTGGATCTCTGTGAGTTCAAGGCCAGCCTGGTCTACAGAGATAGATCCAGGACAGCCTTTGAAGTGATAGGAATCTCCTACTAGGCTAAGGTAGAACCTCCCTCCAGGTCATCCCACCTCTCTTAAGACCTGAGTTCCTTTGTATTCTAAGGCCCCTTGAGATGGGGAATGCTTGGGCCTCTAGTGTAGTAAGGCCAACACTCTCTGGGAGTATTGTGTACTTGCCTGTCTTGGTCCTGTAGGTCCATAGGACCTCCTCTAACCCAGAGTTCCTGCCTCTGCTGTGTCTTTCTGTGAGCCCTTCAATCCCTTGTGGCCTGCGGCATATGCCAGAAGCAGCTGGATGCAGTCACCTACAGGTGCAATCACCCACATTCTCCAGGCTACCTAGGGAACAGTAGCACCCAGAGGGCACAAGCACATGCCAGCTCTGGCAAGGACCAGGAAGCCAGAGCAGGCCATGCAGGGTGTTCCAGGGCATGGAGCTCTAGCACCCAGAATAATAGCAGTTGCCATGGCTTCTCAAAACTGTCAAGAAGAGGTGGGCCATGCTGGAGCCTGGTCTTCCCGATGCCCCTGTTCTCATCACATTGTGACTGGATTTCTGCAGTGTGTCCAGGCTGGGCTGAGTGAGGGGCACATGGAGCTTCCAAGGGGTTCATATCTGTTTAACCCTGGCATAGTGCACCTCCTCCCAGCAGCCTTTGCTTTCTCCTGTACTTTCTCAGGGAAGGGAGGCCTAACAGGCAGGTGGTGAAGGGGTGAGCCAGAGGGGAGATGAAAGAAGGGGAGAAGGAGGAGCATGCCAGCCCTTGGGCAATGGGGAAGGACATTAGGAAGGTCCAGTCAACACAGGCCAGAGGCAGCAGAGTGGGGCCCACAGCAGTGAGAAGTGGCTTGGCCACAGGGCCCTGTGACCACACAGGGCTCAGGCTTTCCAGGCCTAGGTTACTGCTAGAGGCTGATGGGAGGCCTTTCTTTCTTCTAGAGCAAAGCCAAATGCAGATGAGTGTAAATTCTCTTAGTCATCTCCACTTGAAAGACACAAAGCTCAGCAGGGACTCCTGGGGTAAAAGCTCTGGGCTTGCAGGGCGCAGGAGTAGGGAGGCTGAGAACTAGGCAACTCTCTCCCATCCCTGGGAGAGAAGTAGCTCACTGAAGTCTGCGTGCTGTTCCCAACCCCCAACTCAGTTAAAGCATGGGGCATAGTCACTCTTTTACCCCCAACTCAGTTAAAGCATGGGGCATAGTCACTCTTTCTTTTTCCCCCAACTCAGTTAAAGCATGGGACATAGTCACTCTTTCTTTTTCCCCCAACTCAGTTAAAGCATGGGGCATAGTCACTCTTTCTTTTCCCCCCAACTCAGTTAAAGCATGGGGCATAGTCACTCTTTCTTTTAGAAGGATGTCACCAGTGAGCCCCCTAGCCGTGGTGATTCTGAGAGGGCAAGTGAGCAGCTTGGTGGACCACATACCAAGCTTACCCCCCCCCCCCAACTCCCGGCGTGGTCTCCAGCAGGCTCTCTGGAGTATCCCTCAGGACTGTGTCTTGGTTGGGTTTTGTGTACAGGGCCTGACTGACTGGAGACCCATGGTCACAATGGACCAGACAGAGTTCACTAGTCTCCCCCAGGAAGGGGCACAGCCTCCACAGACCCTATCTGTGCCACATCTGCAAAAGAAACTGAAAGATGCAGCTAGGAAAATACGCAGCCTCAGCCTAGAGAGGGAGCAGCTTCTGGAAATGGGGAACAGACTCCGAGCAGAGCTGGGCCATCCTAAAGGTAGGCACCTGGGAAAGGTGGTGGGCCAGGCCACAGTTGGGGTCGTGCCAATGGGGAGGGAAGGTGGTGCCATGGTTCTGCCTGCCACAGGAGGCCAAAAGAAAGGAGCTTCCTGGCTTGCTTGCCACAAGCCTGGGGCCAGAAGGAGAGCTACAGGCTGGCTTCACAGAGGCCACTGGTGGTGGAATGGAGCCAACCAGAGGCCTTAGGCACAGAGCAGGGCTTCATCTCAGCACTGGGTGTCCCTTGACCTACTGCTCTGGCCACATCTGGAAGAATCAGCCATGGAGCAGCTGAGGTCCTGTGAGGCAAGCAACAGGGCAGTTCCAGACCAGCCCACTGTGGGTGTCCCCAGATAGTACAGCATTGTCTATAGATACTCAGTTGATTTCCTACAAGAAACAAGTATTATTTGAGTCCCAGGATTTTTTGTTTGTTTGTTTGTTTGTTTGTTTGTTTGTTTGCTTTAAATGTAAAACAGATGGGTATAGTGACTTGTGCTTGTAATCCCAGCGCCCAAGAGGCTGAGACAGAAGGATCACAAAGTCCAGGCCAGCCTGGACTATGGTGTAAGACCCTCTCTTAAAATCAAATTAGGGCTAGATCTCAGTGCCCACTGCAGGACTGAGACCAAGACCAGCCAAGGCTCACAGCCCTGGGAATGGGAATATAAATATATAAATATAGGGATCCCCAAATAGTCCCTGTTACTACAGGCCAGGCAAAGCGGATATCCATTTGGGCTACCTTTTCCCTCTGTTTAATGCTGTCTCTCCCCCAAATCAGAGCCCAGCAATAGTCCCTGCCTCTTAAAATGCTGCCTCTTACCTTCCGTAACATCTGCCTTTGTTTATTTGTTTGAAGATTTGTTTTTATGTGCATTAGTGTTTTACCTACAAGTATTTCTGTGTGAGGGTGTCAGATCCCCTGGACCTGGAGTTACAGTTAGTTGTAAGCTGCCTTGTGGGTGCTGGGAATTGAACCTGGGCCCTCTGGAAGAGCAACCAGTGCTCTTAACCAATGAGCCTGGGTTTTGTTTTTTGAGACAAGGTCTCATATAGCTCAAGTTGGCCTCAAAAGAACTCCCTGTGTAGTCAAAAACAACTTGAGCTTCTGAGCCTCCTGCCTCCGCCTCCCAGGTACTGATGGGTTGCCAGCTTGAACTAACACACTCAATTTTCTGTTGGCTGAGGATCAAACCCAGGGCTTCACACATGCTAGGCAAGCATTGCACTAAGATACATCCCTAGACCTGGTACCTGAAGTTTTAATCCAGCACAAGGGAGACTAATGCAGGAACATTGTGAGTTCAAGACCAGACTGTGCTACAGAGTGAGACCCTTATATAAAAAACTAAATCAAGGGATTGGAGCTATGGCTCCACATTTAAGAGCACTTGTTGCTCTTGCAGAGAGCCTGGGTTTGGTTCTAGCCCCCACTTGGTGTCTTACAACTATCTATGACTTCAGTTCTGGGATATCCAACACCCTCTTCTGACCCCATAAGCACCAGGTATGCGTGTGCACACATGCAGGCAAACCACTCATACACATAAAAATAAAATAAAAAAATAAATCTAGGTTTAAAAAAAAAAACAAGAATTACAAGAAAACAAAAATGAGCATCTGGGGCTAATCCACATTTGGGTGACGATGCCAGCGCCTCTTTGTATATGCTCACTTTTTCCAGTTCACCACGTGCACGCCATGCATGTTTGCACTCAGCTCACACCCTCATCCATAGACTTCCAGGTACATGGTGTGCACACAGCCTGCTTTTCCTCCAACAGAGCACGCTGTGCCTCTGGAGTCATTAGCAAGCTGATTCCTAGAAGAGAGGGGACAATGGCAGCATTGATTTCTTCCTCCTTCCGGTGGCCTGTTGGTGGCGTCTGCCAGCAGCTTAGTGTCTGTCTCCCACAGACTGCTCTCTGCCATCCTCTATGAAGCTATGAAGTGCTGGAAGATGCTCACAGCAGAGGATTAGAGTCCCCTTTGACCACAGCCCCACAAAAAGTAAATGTTCACTAGAAGATCGCGATAAGGAAAACCTCTCATTGTTTATTATGTTGTTTACTTCTGGTTTGTATGCCAAGTATCAAACCCAGGGCCTTATGCATGCCGGTCACGTGCTCTACCACTGAGCTGCATCCCTCCCCAGCCTTGCCGGTGAGAATTTTTTTTTTAAAGATTTATTTATTTATTATGTATACAGTGTTCTGTCTGCCTGCACGACAGAAGAGGGTACCAGATCTCATTACAGATGGTTGTGAGCCACCATGTGGTTGCTGGGAATTGAACTCAGGACCTCTGGAAGAGCAGCCAGAGCTCTTAACCTCTGAGCCATCTCTCCAGCCCCGCCGATGAGAATTTGATTCATCATGAATGGTTTGGGGAAAACCTACCTTGCTAGTGGCCTATGGCGTCCTATGATACCTGCTTATGATCCCAGCACTCAGAAGGCCCAGGCAGGAAGATCATGAGTTCAAGACCAGCCACAATCAAAAGTAAAATAGAAGACGACTGGGGCCCCAATTAGCCTCCCCTGTGGTTACAGTTGCTGTGGTTCTGCTCTCCAGAGCTCGTGTACACAAGCTGTCAGGTCTGTGTGCTTAGTAATCACAGTGGCACACGCATCCAGAAGCCTACTGCCAAAATACATTAATTGTGAAGGAATAGCTTTAGCAGGAAGTTCACCTGATGAACCGATTGTATGAACTGTTATAACCCTGCTGCTGTGCATCTCTGGGCCCTGGCAGCAGCAGTCGTCTTCACTTGGCACCCTCAGACCCCACTAATGGCCCCTGCACCTCCTTTGGAGGAGACCTGAATTGCATTTCACCCTCTGAGGCTTTTCTTTTAGCTGTTCCTTTAGCAAAAACTTGTGGGCAAAGCCTTCATCAGATCTCCATGTCTGAAAGGTGCCCTGGTGTAGCAGCTGCCTAGAGCCACGGCTGACCTGGAGCTAGAACTCTCAGTTTGCTTTTGTTTTTGAGACAGGCAGGGTCTCACTGTGTAGCCCAGGCTGGCCTCAGCCCCCCATGTGCTAGAATCACAGATATGTAAGCCAAACCTGGTTTCTACAGTCTGATTTTAGAGAAGTTTCTCACGTCTCCTAAACATATAGTCAGCTACCAGTCTGGTCTTGGCTCCTTGGTGAAGGGCATGTTCTACAGGATACATTGCTTTGTTTTGATCTTTTTGTTTGTTTGTTTTTTGTTTTTCCGAGCCAGGGTTTCTCTTTATTACTTTGGAGCCTGTCCTGGAACTTGCTCCATAGACCAGGCTGGCTTTAAACTCACAGCATGGGGAAACAAGGCCCCAGGCCACTCAGGCCTTGTCCTTAAACGGCATCCATGCCTCTTAGCAAAGGCCGTGAACGCTGCAGCTATAAACATAAGTGACCCTGCTATAGTGGTGCACGCCTTTAGCCCCAGCACTCAGGAGGCAGAGGCAGGCGGATCTCTGAGTTCGAGACCAGCCTGATCTACACAGAGAAAGCTCCAGGTAGCCAGGGATGCATAGTGAGGCCCCCTCTCATGTCAGTCATCACCATCTTTATGTCAGGCCAGGTGTCATAGCTCGTGGGAGACTAAGACAGGAGACAGATAACTGTGGGCCATCCTGGCCTACAGAGCAAGACCTGTTTCAAAACAAAATAAAACAAAAAAAGCTCAAAGATGTTTAGGTTAACTTAGAAAAACAAGTCAAATTAAATGAATAAATCAAATTATTCATCTGATTTCACTGTCATTTCTCAATGAAAGAACATAGAATCATTATGGCTATAACTTCTAAGTTTATACACATAAATTTTCCCTCTTTTGTTAAGGTTTTTTATTTTATGCATATGAGTGTTAAAGTTGCATGTGTATCTATGTACCATATTCGTGCCTGGTACTTAAAGAGGCCAAAAGAGGGTGTTGGAAGCACCAAAACTAGAGTTATACATGGTTTTGAGACACTGTGTGGGTGCTGGAACTGAACACAGGTTCTTTTTAAGAGCAACAAGTGTTCCAAATAGCTGAGCTGTCTCTCTTCAGCTCTCCCCCCCCACACACACCTTTTTAAAGGGCTTTGCTGTGTCATCCAGGCTGGCCTCATCTTCAGCACCCACAGCATCAGGGACAAGTGCGAGTGCGCGTGCTTGAGCGGAGGCCCTTCCGTATGTTGTGAATGTTTCTCTTATTGGTTGATGTGTAAAGCTATTTCCGCCGATGGACAGGAAGGATGTAGCAGGTAGGAAGTATAGTCTGCCAGACTATAATTGTGAGAAGAGGAACTCAGGGGGACGCCATGTAGCTGTCAAGAGAGCAAGAGATGCAGGTATCACCAGTAAGCCAAGACCATGTGGAGATACACAGATTAATAGAAATGAGTTAATAATTAAGAGAGAGCTAGACAATAAGAAGCCTGAGCCATTGGCCAGACAGTTTATAATTAATATAAGCCTCCATCCACAGACCCCTGCACAGGCACATGTGTTCCTTGATGCACTGCCCAGAGGCCTGTTTGAGTGACCGTTAGCAAAATACCTTCCTTCCACTGCTCTGTGCAGCTGTCCGAAGGTTAGTGTTCCGGGTTGGGATTAGGCTGGAAATTACACTGTGTGTCCCTGAGCTCTGCTAGGGGATGGTGTGTCACAATTCACACATGACCTCTGCTCCCAAGTTCTTTGGAGTAAAGGTTGCTTTGGTTTTGAAAAGTAGTCTGCTGTCCTTTGTGTTCAAGAAATCCTGTCTGACACACACAGGGAACCAACCCTTTCCTCATCCCATTTCCAGGGAAACTGACTCCTTGCACACTTCCTCCCACCTCTGAGTCCCGGGACCCCCGTGAGAGGCCTGAGACACCTCTAGACCCTGGCCTACCTTTGAAACAGTTGCAGCCCCACTCAACAACTCAGGTAACTTCTTCATCTAAGAGATCTGTTAACACTTCCCTAAGTATGGGTTTTCATTAGACAACTACAGAAGATAGCAGAAGAGCCTCTCGGTGCTGGTGGCATCACACTCTTCCTACTCCTTTGCTTTTTATTTGCTTTGGCTTTTGGAGACAGAGTCACACTATGTAGCCCAGGCTAGCTGGAACCCTGGGCCCTCCTGCTCAGCCTCCTGATTACACAAGTGCCCTTCCATGCCTGCTCTTGGATTTGTTTATGGTTTTAAGTAACGAATTGTACATATGATTTACTATAGCTTTACCCATACGGGTATTACATTTTTACTTTGTTTGCTTTTCAAGATAGGGTTTCTCTGTGTAGCAGCTCTGGCTACTACTTTCTTGTTTTTGTTTCTGGAGACAGGGCTTCTCTGTGTAGCCTTGGTTGTCCTGGAACTCACTCTGTAGAGCAGTTTGGCCTCAAACTCACAGAGATCCACCTGCCTCTCCCTCCCAAGTGCTGGGATTAAAGGCGTAAACCACCACTGCCCAGATGGTATTATATTTTTAATATTTGCCAATATAAACTTTTAAATTTGTATCTTTACAAAAATGTCTTGGTGCTGGAGAGATGACTGGTAGTTAACAGTGCTTGTTGCTCTTCCAGACACCCAAGTTTGTTTCCCAGCACCACTGTCAGGTAGCTTATAGCCTCCAGGAACTAACTACAGCTCCAGGGTCTATCTTAGTTTGCTTTCTATTGCTATGACAAAACACCAGAACCAAAGAAACCTGGGAAGGAAAGGGTTTAATTGGCTAACCCAACCAAAGTCCATCATGAAGGGTGTCAAGGCAGGAAACTAGAGGCAGAAACTTAAGCCCAGGTCATGGAGGAATGCTGCTTACTGGCTTGCGTCTCATGGCTTGCTCAGCTAGTTGTTGTTTTGGGGTGTTTTTATTTATTTATTGTATTTTATATGTATTGGTGTTTTGCTTGCATGTTTGTACCCTAGGCGGGTGCCTGGTACCTGTGAAAATTACGAAGAGACATTAAATCCCTTGGAACCGGATAGTTGTTAGCCACCATGTAGGTTCTGGGAATCAAACCTGGGTCCTGTGGAAAAGCACCCAATCTCTCCAGCCATTAGCTTGTTTTCTTATACAGTCCAGGACCATTTGCCCCAGGGTGGCACCACCCACAGTAGGATGGGCAGGGCCCTCCCACATCCATTATTAATAGAGAAAAAACCCCTGCAGAGCAGAGTTGCTGACAGGCCATGGACTCTAGTATGTGTTAAGTTGACAAAAAACTTTGTCACAATTGACCCCTTTTCAACCTGACACAACAATACATCAATACCAAGCCATAACCTTTTCTTTCTTGCTCAGAGACTGTTAGTACATGTGTTCTTCTGCTGCTCTGTGCAGCTTTCTGAGAGTCAGGGGTAGGGCTAGGACTAGGCTGGGAAGCTGTGCTGTGTGCTCCCAAGCTCTGCTCATGGTAATATCAACATCACAATATAATATACATATCCACCTTTAAAAATCTGTGTTTAAAAATTTGAACACTTTAGTTGGGCATGGTAGAGAATGCCTTTAATCCTATCACTCAGGAGGCAGAGGCAGGAAAAGTTTAAACAATACAAGTTCAAAAATTCCTTTTAAAAGTACAAAGTCTGTCAGCTATGGGATCCTGTAAAAAAAAAAAATAAAATAAGTTGGGGGCTGGAGAGATGGCTCAGAGGTTACCGACTGCTCTTCCAGAGGTCCTGAGTTCGGTTCCCAGCAACCACATGGTGGCTCACAACCATCTGTTATGAGATCTGGTGCCCTCTTCTGGTGTGCAGATATACATGGAAGCAGAATGTTGTATACATCAAAAAACAAAAAACAAAAAACAAGCTAAATATTTTTTTTAACTCCAGGAGTGAAGAACCTGGGGCATTCACAATCAAATCAAAGCAAAACAAAATTCCAACAGTATAAATAATTTAGTGCTCAATGTCTGGGATTCACTCACAATCTTATGGGCTCCAAAAAGCTTGGGACGTTGTACATCCCCAGCTCTGTATCTGTAGCACACCTAGCTTGTCCCATAGGCTCAGGCTTGCTCCATTCCACACCTGCTGCTACTCTGGGTAGTCATGTTACACCCAGTCCACTATGCACCACAAGGAACGAGAGAGACAACAACATGGATTCCAAACATGTTAATAAGTCACCACATAAAAGGGTCACTGGTCAATCAGGACTGCGGGACACGGAGCCTTGTTTCTCTTGGCAGCCCTGAGCAGGGGCAGAAGTGGGGTTTATAAGCACAAAAATCACAAATATTTTATCCAAGTTACAATTACATTTTTCACCAATCAAATATCAAAGATTAGGGGCTTTCCCTGTGTGTTCCACCATTGTCAACCAACATACAATACAAGCCTGGCAGTCCAACCATCAGACTGATTTGTTCCTTCTGTGGTTAGGAACAGCCATAATGTTTCTACAGAACTAAAGAAGCGAAGCCGGGCGGTGGTGGTGCACGCCTTTAATCCCAGCACTTGGGAGGCAGAGGCAGGTGGATCTCTGTGAGTTCGAGGCCAGCCTGGTCTCCAGAGCGAGTGCCAGGATAGGCTCCAAAGCTACACAGAGAAACCCTGTCTCGAAAAACAAACAAACAAAAAACAAAACAAAACAAAAAAGAAGCATAGCGACTATTTCTGTGGTTTAAGGAGGAAGCTGGTCAGCCATTGGAGAGTACCCAGCTCCCCTAAGACTTGGGAACCTGAACTTTATTTCACCCTACATGTAAAATGGAGTCAGGACTTAGGCAGTACTTTGCCTGGTCCCTTCAGTCGCCCCCCAGTCCTGGCATCGATGGTGTACTGGGGACTCCACAGCAACTGAGACAGCATCTTCACCAATGGCCTCTCCTGACCTCTCTCTCACACAGGATCAAGCCTCGTCTACTCTCCAGTAACACGGGAGACTTTTATACATTTCCAAGTATAGCTGCCTGCTTAAGAGACAGCCTTGGCCCACTGAGGCACAACTGTGTGCTAGCCGTAAGGAAACACTTGCCAGAAGATTTCACCTAACTTATGTTTCTCTCTCTCTCTCTCTCTCTCTCTCTCTCTGTCTCGTTCTTAATTGGTCTAAGTAATAAAAACCCAGAGTCAGATATAGAGGAAAATGCTGAGAGATCAGAGAGAAAGAGCAAGCCGCCACCACACCTTACCTCCTTAGTATCGAAGCAGAAAAGAGAGCAAGTTCGTGTTTTCCCTACTTGTATCTGTTTCCGCCCAGCTAGCTCACTTCCTGTCTGTCTGTACAGAACTCCAGACCTCTATTGTTAGTTAATGGCAACCTCCATTCTCTGACCTTCAGACAGCCTTTATTTGTACAAGCAAGTATCACTACATCTCTGTGTTTTTCTAGACCAGGTTTCTCTGTGTAGCCCTGGCTGTCCTGGAACTCACTCTGTAGACCAGGCTGGCCTCAATCTCACAGAGATCCTTCTGCCTCTGCCTCCCATGTGCCACCACTGCCTGATACCTCACAGCTGATTTTTCAGTCTTAGCTAACCAGCATTGTTTTTCCAAACAAAGCAAAGGTTTCACCTCCAAGGTGCTGATCTCTTCTTAGTCACAGCTGATCCTAAAGCCCCAGCCAAAGAAAAGCTCCTTAAGCTCTGAAAACTCAATGGCTTTTCCAGCCCAAAGTTCCCAACCCCTTCCACAGTCTTCTCAAAGCAACATGGCTACATCTGTCACTACAATACCCACTCTCCTGGCACTAATTTCTTTAGTTTGCTTTCTAATACTGTGATAAAACATGACCAAAAACAGCTTGGGGAGGAAAAGGTTTGTTTGGCCTTCATGTCTCAATCACAGCCTTTCATGAAATGAGGAAACCAGGGCAGGAACCCGGAGACAGAAACTGATGCAGGAAGCGTGCCTTGGTGTCACCCACGTCTTTAATCCCAGCATTCGGGAGGCAGAGGCAGGCTGATCTTTGTGAGCTAGAGTCCAGCTTGGTCTACAGAGCGTTCCAGGACAGCCAAGGCTACACAGAGAACCCTGTCTCCAGAAACAACAACAAGCAGCAGCTGTGGAGAAATGCCGATTATTTTGCTTGTTCCCCAAGCCTTACTCAGTGTTTTTTTGTTTTGTTTTGTTTTTTGTTGTTTTTTTGTTTGTTTGTTTGTTTGTTTTTTCGAGACAGGGTTTCTCTGTGTAGCTTTGGAGCCTATCCTGGCACTCGCTCTGGAGACCAGGCTGGCCTCGAACTCACAGAGATCCGCCTGCCTCTGCCTCCCGAGTGCTGGGATTAAAGGCGTGCGCCACCACCGCCCGGCTCAGTGTTCTTTCTCATAGAAGCTGCTGTCAGAGGTAGCACTATCCACGGTGGATGAGGCCCTCCATAGCAATCATTAATCAAATAAAATAATGCCCCAGACATTTCTACAATGTGTACAATCTAATGGAGGCATTTTCTCACTGGGGCTCCCTCTGCCCAGATGACTCTAGCTTGTGTAAAGTTGACAGAAAACTACCCAACAGGGGAACCAGTGCCCTCTTTTGGCTCCTGCAGGCACCCATACACATAGGGCATACGCACCCACAGGTACAGACACATACATAAAAATACATTTTTAAAACTTTTTTGTAATTTTTTTGAGACCATGTTTATCTGTGGTCTGGAACAATTTAGACCAGGCTGGCCTCACAGAGATCTGTCTACATTTACCTCCCAAGTGCTGTGATTAAAGACCCCCTGTACCACACCTAGCTTTTAAATTTTCTTATAGCCAAGCATAGCGGTTATGGTCAAGGATTCGGGTGTGGCTCAGTTGCAGAGCACATGTTTAGTGTGTGCCTGAAGCTCTGGGTTCCGTCCCTACCATTAAAAAAGGTCAACTCCAGCCATTTAATCCCATTGACCTGATGTACACTCTCCATCACTCCAAGAAGTGCCTCCTTGTGGCATAGTGGCACACACCTTTGATTCCAGCACTTAGGAAGCAGAAGGAGATTGATCTCTGGGAGTTTGAGGCCAGCCTGGTGAGTTCCAGGTCACTCAAGGCTGCATAGTAAGACCCTGTCTTAAACAAAAAAAAAAAAAACAAAAAAGAAGTTCTGCCCTCAAGTTTTATCCAGAACAGCTTCATGACCTGCAAGATATACATCCTTGGGTAGTCCAGGGTCCCGCACTGCTCACCCAGACCTTTAGCTGAGGTTGGGGAGGGAGGTGTCTGCCATGGGAATGTCCATAATGCTTTGTTCATCCCACAAGCTTCAAGACAACCAGCAATTTCCACCACTGACTGATGAAACATAGCAAACCTGTGCCTTGGAGGGATACGTGTACATAGCAGGGGTTGTTTGGTTTTTGAGATGCTCTTGCAGTCCTCCTGCCTGGGCTCCTCAAGTGCTATGCTAGGATTACAGGTCACCTTCAGGACCAGCTGAGTATAGCTTTTAAGCTGCTAATGATCGGCCTCTTTAAGGCTATGGGAATCTTTTTGTTTTTTGTAATCTCAGTACTGATTCATATTTGTTGAATAACTGCAAATATATTCTCACAGAAGGAATTTGACTTTTCAGTTTACTTAAAATAAATTAAAAGAAAGCCATGTAAAGACGTTTTGCCCTGGGGTGATGTAAGTTCTAAGCTTATTCCCAGCCAGGTGGGAACAGACAGCTTTGGGCCAGGGAGCCACATGTTGACCAACTCTGGTGAGGGCCACTGAGGCTATGAGGCATGGGTGGGGCAAAGGCAGAGCTGAAATGTGAAAAAAGAATACCAGGACATCAAGACAAAACATCAAAGCTCAGGCCTGAGCAGCTGAGTGGGGAAGAGAGGGCCAGGGGACAAGTTGGAGGTAATCCTTCTCCATTCACACCTGTGACCAGCCTGAGGCCACACACACAGACCAAGGGGAAGAGCAGAGTCAAAGACAAGGCAAGGCCACCCAGGAAACGGGCCTGGGAAACCTCGAGGCACATGGAGGTCAGCTGTTTGGTCAGAGAAGAAACTGAGCAGGCCTGGCTGAAGAAAGTAGGGCAGGCCCAGGTGTTTCCCCAGTAGACCATGGAGGAAACTATAAAAGAAGCATTGAGAAGGATGGCTGAGCCCAGAAAGGAGGCTCAGTTCAGGGTGGAAGAGTGCTGCTTCCCCACTGCTGGAATCTGGGCATCCTGTGTGTGGCACATGCTCCACAGCTCCTCCAGACCCTCTATGGACCACACAGGCAAGCATACACTCAGAAACCTGCTTCTCTCTACTTCTCCTGACCTGGGAGACAGACCCACCCCACCCTCCATGGGCCACACAGGCAAGCATACACTCACAAAAGTGCTTCTACTGGTGACATAGAGAGCCGATCTTGAGTCACGGGTGAGTTGTCACTCTAACAGGTTGGGAATTTTCAGTCACTTGCACTAGTCATTGCTCAAACTTCTCAAACATGTGTCGTCAAAAGAAATCTTGCCCATACCAAATAAACAAGTCTTCTGTCCATTGCAATAAAGCATGCCTGTTATCTGACTACTTCTTCTTAGTATAGTAAATACTTTTATTAAACTATTAATTTCTTCTAAACTACATTTGTTTATTACATCTACTAAAATAATTAAAACTCCAGAAAAGCCGGCCAGTGGTAGCACACAACTTTAGTCCCAGCACTCGGGAGGCAGAGGCAGATAGATCTCTGTGAGTTCGAGGCCAGTCTTGTCTACAGAGCAAGTGCCAGGACAGCCTCCAAAGCTACACATAGAAACCCTGTCTTGAAAAACCAAAAAACTCCAGAAAAGAACTTGGGTGTGATGGTACTTACCAGCCCTGGAGACTGGGGCAAGAGGGTGGCGAGTTTAAATTCAACTTGGGCTACATAGCGAGGCCCTGTCTTAAACTGAAGGAGGAAGAGGAAGAGGAAGAAGGAAAGAAGGAGGAGGAGGAAGAAGAAAGAAGGAAAGAAGAAGAAGAAGAAGAAGAAGAAGAAGAAGAAGAAGAAGAAGAAGAAGAAGAAGAAGAAGAAGAAGAAAAGCAAACAAACAAAAAACAGCTGGAGAGATGGCTCAGTGGTTAAGAGCACTGACTGCTCTTCCAGAAGATTTAAGTTTGATTACCAACACCCACATATTGGCTCACAACCACCTGTAATTCCAGTCACAGGGGATCCCATGCCCTCTTCTGGCCTCTGTGGGCATCAGGAATGCACATGATACACAGGCATACATGCAGGCAAAAATATGTGTACTCATAAAAGTAAGCACACACACATATATGAACTCCCAGCCCCTTTCTATTGTTGTTTTGTTTTGTTTGAGACAGAGTTTCTCTGTGTAACAGCCCTAGCTGTCATGAAACTCACTTTGTAAATCAGGCTGGCCTCGAACTCACAGAGATCCACCTGCCTCTACCTCCACAGTGCTGGGATTAACAGTGTGCACTGCCACTGCCTGCTTATTTCTAGTAGTAAATGCTACCTACTGAGTAAGAAATAGAAAGAGCCAGGTGGTGGTGGTGGTGGTGGTGGTGGTGGAGCCCACCTTTAATCCCAGCACTCAGGAGGCAGAGGCAGGCCAATCTCTGTGAGTTCAAGGCCAGCCTGGTCTACAGAGCGAGTTCCAGGACAACCTCCAAACCTACAGAGAAACCCTGTCTCGAAAAACAAGGAAAGAAAGAAAGAAAGAAAAAGAAAGGAAGGAAGGAAGGAAGAAAGAAAGAAAGAAAGAAAGAAAGAAAGAAAGAAAGAAAGAAAGAAAGAAAGAAAGGAGAAATAGTAAGAACATACTGAAAAGAATTACATGCTGGGCCTGGTAGCACACACCTTTAATCCCAGCACTCAGGAGGCAAAGGCAGGTAGATCTCTGTGAGTGCGAGGCCAGCCTGGTCTACAAAGTGAGTTCCAGGACAACCGGACAACCTCCAAAGCCACAGAGAAACCCTGTCTCAAAAAACCAGAAAAGAAGGAAGGAAGGAAGGAAGGAAGGAAGGAAGGAAGGAAGGAAGGTAGGAAGGAAGGAAGGTAGGAAGGAAGGAAGGAAGAAATCAGAGGTCAGTGAACTGATGGAGCTCATAACTACTAGCAACCAAATAGCTCTAAATTAAGCCCAAATTGCACTAGTCATTGCAATTGTTGGGTGTGCTCACTACTGTGTCCACTAGAGGATAGCCAGGGAGGTCTGCACCCTCTCCCACGAGCTGATCCGAGTTCTACACAAGCACAGCTTCTTTTTCCTTCCTGTTTTTCCCATGATTCCTTTCTTACCCCATGTGGTTCTCCTTGATGCCCCACATCCCCTTTCCCATTGACTCCTCTGCAGAGCATGGGTGGAAACTGCAAGCATTCAGACTGTGTGATGAGCAGAGTGACCGGGTTAGGGATCAGTCCTCAAGGTGGTGCCTTGGGCTGGGCTCTACTAAGTCAGGGCCATGCAGGATGCCCTGCTCTTGGGGAAAAGATCTCTGCTTGGAATTCACAGCTTCCTTCCCCAGAAGGTTCTGGGAAGCACTTAGGCCAAATGGAGGAAGCTGATTGAATTTGTTCTATGTAGTAAAACAAGCACGCCCTTCTTTTAAGGGCTGTCACCAAATGAAGAGTCACTAGTCCCAGGATTTGGGGAAGGTTTCTTTCTAATCTTGGGGAAAGCTCATATACCAGTGATGTCAGTTCCTGAATTTCTTTTGACTTTTCATGACAGGACCCCAGGCACACCACGAGAAAATGTGTTTCTGAATATTTAGGGGAAAATCAGCCCCACTCAGTCCAAGTGGGCAGCAAATGCAACATCCCACGAGGCTACACGGCAGGCGTGGCATCAAGGCCTGCTCAGGTACAGCCAGGTCCTTGGGTGCAGTGGTTTCTGAGGGTGCATATGGGAGCTGGAGTGTGGTCGTAGGGTTCTGTGGGCACGGGGGTCTAACCAGGCTGGGTGTTCACACACACCTGAGTGTGAACTTGTGGGAACTTGGACACTCTGGACACCTGAGGAAAGGCCACGCCGCTCTGATGTCTGCTCTGATGTCATGGATTTGCTTCATTTTAAAGTAGTGGGATAGCTGGGGGAACACAGACACCAGGATACCTCACGTCCATTCGCCCCCAGTGGCCTTCACACTCCAGTAGGAACTATAGCTTTCAAGGCCTTGTCCCCACACCTGTATCCTGGACTCAGAGCTGCTGGCTGGTGTCCTGTGCCCAGAACACACTCAGCTGCTCTCCAGGGGCCCATCCCCATGTCGAGAGTGTCCTGGTCCCCTTCTCCTGAAGGGAGCAGGGAAGGGGAGCGAAACATCTCAAGGCTGGAAAGAGGGCAGCTAACAAAGATAACTGTCTTCTTCACTTTCACAGAAGCAACACCGAGTCCCCACAGAAACTTTGAAGTCGGTTTGTCAGAAAGAAAACAGGTCTCCAAAGCTACCACCACAGGCACAAGAAGTCCCCGAGGAAAGTGACCATCACACCCATAGATCATCTTCGTTGACCAGCAGTTCCCTCCAGGACACCTGGAAGCTGTTAGACCTGGGATCCAGCCTTTCAGGTGTCACCTCCCAGGATGACTCTGCTGCAGGTAGGAGAGCTGCCTGCCTGACCACTACCAACAGGGTAGGGTACCAGAGGGGGTGAGAACAGTGTGGTGGCAATGTTCTGACGTAACTGGAGTTGGTGTGTTGAATGCTTTCTGCCCTTTCAGTCTCATAGATGACTGTGTCCCTTAGCTCTTGTATCTATGCTCTTGTGTCCAGCACGTCCCATGCCATAAACCATATAGCCCTGAAGGTCACAAATCATGTCACACACTGTGTCTATCCCCCAGGGCTCCTAGGATAGAATCTACTTCTCTACAAGTAGATTCTGGGTGGTGCTCTGCTTCTCTAGAAGAGCCAGTGATGGTTGCAATGAAATTCTTAGGAAACTTTGTCTAAAGGTCTCACTTTGGGGGAACTATTTGAGATGACACCAAGCAAGAAGGGTGGAAGAAGAAAAAGTGATTACAAAATCTAAGCCAAACAAAACAAAACAAACAAACAAAACCAAGGCCTGGCATGGTGGCTCACACCTTTAATCCCAACACTCAGGAGGCAGAAGCAGGCAGAGTTTAGTGAGTTTAAAGCCAGCTTGGTCTATATAGTGAGTTCCAGAATGGCCAGGGCTACATAGAGAGACCCTGTCTCAAAAACAAAAGAAGAAGAAGAAGAGGAGATCATATTCAGAGACACGGAATGAGTACATGACCCTGGTGTCCATCTGGTGTGAGCCCTGGGTGTGTCTTCTCTTGGTCACAGTCTGCTCCATCGAGCAGCTATACTGATGTGTTCTTCAACAATTGTTTTTCGGTTATTTCCAGTCCTTTGCCATTGCAGATAGATGATGGTGAATGACCTTGGGCATATGCTTAAGCACATATTATATGTTAAGTAAAAGGGTTCTGAGATGAGCATGGTACACAATGGTACCAGCTACTCAAGGCACTGAGACGAGAGGATCAATGACTTGAGGCCAGAAGTTCAGTACTTTCCTGGGCACATAGCAGAATCCTGTCTTGGGGGGGGGGGGAGAAAGGAGGGAGGGAGGGAAGAAATTTCCAAAGGAGTTTGCTTTCTTAAAAAAATTAAGACACACACACACACACACACACACACACACACACACACACACTAATTTGGGGCCTACAGTTTCAGAGTGTTGGAGTCCTGATCATCATGGCAGGGAGCATGTCAGCAGGCAGGCAGGCAGGGTGCTAGAGCAGTAGCTGAGACAGCGTGCCTTGAGACACAACCACCAGGAAGAAAGAGAACTGGGAGTGGAATGGGCTTTTGAAACCTCACAGCCTGCCCTGCAGTGACACACTTCCAATAAGGCTACATATCCTAATCCTTCCCAAACAGTTCCATCAACTGGGGACCAAGTATAGGCTCAAGCATATAAGCCTATGGAGACCATTCTCATTCAAACCACATTTATATATATGGTATATTGTGTGTGTGTGTGTGTGTGTGTGTGTATTCCTTGAATATTGCTAGGGGTGTAAGAACCTACAGTCTCTATGGACACCAGTCAGGCAGTGTTTGCCAAAGTTAGAAACACATTACCTCCTTTGCCTTTGTCTCGGGATTCAGGCCTAGAGCACATTAGTCAGATGCTCTCCCACTAAGCTATATCCTCAGGCAGGTGTGTGCATGTGTGCCATGGCACACATGTGGGGATCAGAGAACACACTTTAGGAATTGCTTCTCTTCTTCTGAGCCCCACAGATTGAACTCAGCCATTCAAGGCACGTAAGAGGCAAGTGCCTTCACCCACTTGTCATCTTGACACCTTTTCTTTTTTTTTCTGGAGAAAATGACCAGCTCCTTAGTGCTGAGGTCACAGGTGTGTGCCACCCTTTGTGGCTTATTCAGTGCTGAGAATCAAACCCAGGGCTTTGCACATGCTAGGTGCCCACTTTAACAGCTGAGTTTCAGCAGGGCGGTGGTGGCATGTCTTTGGGCCCAGCACTCAGGAGGCAGAGGCAGGTGATCTCTGTGAGCTCAAGGCCAGTCCAGTCTATAAATCAAGTTCCAGCATGGCCAGAGTTGTTACACAGAGAAGCCTTGTCTCAGAAAAAAAACCAACAAGAAAAACTGAGCTACATCCTTCCTGCCCCCGTATTCTTCATGTTCATAAACTGGTTTTGCCAAAGCAAAGCAAAACAAATGAACAAAAACCATGGTCTCATGTAGCCCAAGTTGGCTCCAAACGTGCTATAAACTTTCAACTTCTGACCCTCCCACCCTCACTACCCAAGTCTGGGGTTATGGGCATACCCCACCATACCTGGCAAAATATTCTTTTTAGAGACAGGGTCTCTCTACAGAGCCCTGGCTGTCCTTGAACTCACTATATAGACCAGGTTGGCCCCAAACTCACAGAGATCTGCCTGCCTCTGCCTCACAAGAGCTGATATTAAAGGTGTGTGCCACCAGGCCCGGCCAAAATAGAATTTTTATCTTTTGAGCAAATATAATCTTAGTGCCTTACATTTTATCATCGGTTGGCTCAGTATGAACTCTGATTTCCAGACTTGTACAGTCTAAGAGCTTAGATTGACACTTCTGACTAAAACAGCTACAACTGAAGAAACAAAAACAAAAAACAAAAACCAGCAAGCTGACAAGGCAGGGGCCGCTCAACCAAGAGACTGAGTGAGTAGGAGCCGCAACAGAAAAGTGAGTGCAGAGCCACAGTGACCCCACCTGTCCCTGTGAGGAGGGAATTTAAGTTTGACATCACAACCTCACGAGTTCAAAGGGGGGTGTGCAAACCTGGAACCTACCCATGGTGGGATCACTGCCGTGAATCCTCACATGTAGCCGGGCTGGAGCTAAAAGATCGAAACACACTAGTGAGGCTGTGGGAAGACTCTCTTATTGGTAACACAAGCCTTGTGTGGGTTCCCCATGGTTTGGGGTCCACAGAGTTAGTGTGTTTTTTTTTTTTTCATTTTATTTTATTTATGTTGTGTTGTTATTTTTGGTTGCATGTTTATCTGCGCACCACATGGCGTGCATGTTGTCCATAGAGCCAGAATAAGGTGTCAAATCCCCTAGAACTGGAGTTATAGATTGTTGTGACCAGCCATGGGGATGCTGGGGACCAAACCACAGTCATCTGCAAGAGCAGCCAGTGTACTTAATCATTAATCCATCTCCCTAGCCCCATGAGTCCTGAGCAGAGTCCACAGACAATTCCAGTTATTCCAGGGTCTTTCATTCAAGATTATCACAAATCATCTTTTGTAGCAAAGATCTCCACATAATGACCTAGAGACACTGGGTCTCAGTGACTATGCTCAACATAAGAATAAGATAGCTTAAAGAATAAGATGGCAAAGCTGGACATGGTGATTTTAGTCCCAGCACTGAGACTTAGGAGGCAGAGACAGCCAGATCTCTGAGAGTTCAAGGCCAGTCTAGCCTACCAAGGGAGTTCCAGAACAGCCAAGGTGAGGCTCCATTTCAAGAAACAAAGACTGAGAGAGCAACAGGAGAATAGATCCCAAGAAAGGAGGACCAAGGAAGAAAGACCTCTTAGCAAATCACACACACCAGCACCAAAGGGAGGTGGGTACATGCCTGTGAGTGCAGGCGCCCAAGGAGGCCAGAGGCATTGCATACCCCTGGGGCTGGAGTTAACAAGGAGGTTGTAAGATGCCCGATGTGGGGGCTGGGAACTGAACCCTGGTCCTCTGGAAGAGCACTTACTGCTGAGCCATCTCTCCAGCCCTATTGAATGAGGTAGCAGTGGACAGATTGATCTAATTTATCAGCACAGGGAACTGACAGGCAGCACAGACAGGGCCTGCTGCATTCAGGGAACAGGGTAGAGGTACATTCAGTGACAGAGAAGCCTGAGCTATGTCACCACCAGCTGTCTCTCACCAGAAGTAAATTCAGTTAGCCAAATTATTTCTATGTGACTACGTAGAAATAAATGTATGTGGTTTGTCCTCACCTGTGCATCTCAGCCTTCAAAAGCAGAAAGGCAATGCAGAGTCCTGACAAGCAGCAAACACAACTGGTGTCAGTAAAACTTTATTTACAAAAGCAAGTGGCAGTAACATTCTGTTCCTTAAAGTCAGATGTACAGAACCTTATTTTTATTGCTCTTTCAACTATGTATATTACATGTGCTTACTGTTTTTGTTATTAGGTTTTTGTTTTGTTTTGTTTGTGTTTTTGAGACTGTGTCTCACTATGTATTTCTGTCTAGCCTTGAATTTGCAGTGACATTATTCTGCCTCCCAAGTGCTGGGATTACAGGAACCACACCCTGGTTGCTTTAATGAGTGGGGAAGTGGTCAGCCCCACAGATGCATCAAGGATCAGACAGAGAAGTGACCGTTGTTTTGTTTTTATTTGATTTTTTTCCCTTTTTAGAGCCATGGTCTTGCTATATAGCCCCAGTTAGCCTGGAACTTGCCCCAGTCTATCTGCCTCTGCCCCTAGGTGCTAGGATTATAAACATATGCAGCTATGCCCACACCCCCTGAGTAGATCACTGATGGTTTGAAGAGTAGTCTCAGTGGAATGAGGGCCATCAGTTTAGTCCCCCTCCTGAGTGGCTTCTGCAGAGAGTTGGATGGACAATTCAGGAAGCAGCAATCAGGAGGCCACAGTTCAGGGCGAGGAGGGACCTGAGAAGCCCGTTGTGTGCCGGTGGTGAGGTGAGGAAAGGTGATGGGAGATGAACTCAGAGAAAAACCCTGGAGGAGAGGAGGGGAGGGGCGGGGAGGGTGTGACCCCTGTAGTCCTGACCTTGGACAGGACAGCCAGCTGATCCTAGTTAGGGCAGGACAGAGTGACCAGAGTAGAGAGTAGACCGACTGCCAGCACTGACAGGCAAGCTTTCCCCATCATACTCACAGTGTTACAATAAAGTATGGGGGGGGCAGGGGGTAGGGGGGCCCAGGGGCAGATTCCATGGTGGGTAAGGGGCAAACATGCCAGGCAGACAGAGCTTAAGTGAACTTTTACTAGAAAGGAAGGGTCGGGGAGAGAAAAGAGAAATGAGGTAAAGAGAGGCAGAGAG